AGTCCCTGCTCCCCACACCTGGAACCCACGATCCCTGCTCCCAACACACGGAACCCGCAGCCCCTGCTCCCCACACCTGGAACCCGCAGCCCCTGCTCCCCACACCTGGGACCAGCAATGCCTGCTCCCCACACACGGAACCCACGGTCCCTGCTCCCAACACACGGAACCCACAGTCCCTGCTCCCCACACCTGCAACCCGCGGTCCCTGCTCCCCACACCTGGAACCCGCGGTCCCTGCTCCCCACACCTGGAACCCGCGGTCCCTGCTCCCCACACCTGGAACCCGTGGTCCCTGCTCCCCACACCTGGAACCCGTGGTCCCTGCTCCCCACACCTGGAACCCGTGGTCCCTGCTCCCCACACACGGGACCCACAGTACTCCGGACACCGGCACAGTCTCCACGCACACCCTGTGGGAACTGGACAAAACACTGCCTCACCCAGCGTCAGGACTGAGGTCCTGAGCAAATCAGAGTTCTCTCTGCTTTCACACCTGAAAATGGGAACAAGGATACTTCCAGGGGACATTTGTTTTAGGAAGTTACCAAGGTTAATATTATCAAATACTAAAGGGCGTGGACTGTCTCTGTGGAAAAAGGCTGCTGTTCCAGTACACGGTGTTGCTTAGTTGTGGTTTGTGACCCGCCATTTTAGGGAGTAGTTCACCTTCACACTGCGCGTGCCTTCTCTTTCATTTTATTTCATTTTTAAATGTGGTGGGAGCACTAAGAGAAGGGTGGTAGCCTAGTGGAAAGAACATGGATCCTCGTCTCGGGTCTTCTTTGTAGCAATTAATCGCTGTAAACATCAGTAACTTCATCTGCACATTTGCGTCAGAGAGGATGATGAGGAACAGAACAGAGGCACCGAGTGTGTCGGGACATGGCACGACATACCAGGCAAATGTAATTCACATCGCAGCCGAACATGTGTTGTACACGTGTACATGCACCATTAACAGATACACGTAAAGCAGAGCTCTAGGTTTAAAGCAATTTTAGAAATTTTTATTGTTGTTACTTTACAATCAAATAAAAAAATTACCTTTATTGGACATGAGCCCACTGGACATACGTGATGGCTCCAGATTGTGGTTTCTGCAGTTGGTGACTGTTTGTAAAAAATGTTTATGGATAATCCTGATAAAAATGTGACTATGTACATCACTATGAATCGGTTTCTATCTGCGGAATAGTATTTCAACTTCTCCCTTTGGAAGGATACCATTTTTACAAAAGTAGTATTTCATCAGTTTACATGCATCATCTTTCCTTTCCACATTTAATTTTTCTTTAGACATAAAATCTTTTACGAAAGATAAAACTCCCATGAACTTCTAAGTTGGTGATAGTTATTAACTGTTCACATGCTTCTAAACCCGAAAGTAGACATTTGGCCCCGAAATGCAGACTCACTCTCAAGATAAGGGTGGGTGCTGCCATAAGAGGGGGCGCTCTGACCCGGCGCCAGGTGTCCTCCTTACCTCTCGTGACCTTCCCTGGCAGGACGTCGTGTCCAAGATGCTCCACGTGGACCCTCATCAGCGCCTGACGGCGGTGCAAGTACTCAAACACCCGTGGATTGTCAACAGAGAGTACCTGTCCCAAAACCAGCTCAGCAGACACGACGTTCACCTGGTGAAGGTACCAGCGAGGACAGAGGGAGCAAGTGGTGGGAGTGGGAAGCCCAGAGCGAGCTGGGGCCTCACAGCCAGTCTAGGAAACGCCCCGCAGAGCAGGGGCGAAGCGCAGACACAGTTGGTTCCCTCGGGTCACACACTTCTGTACACGTCACGCACACATGCAATGGCACGCACGGCTTCTGTGGAGGTGGGGGAGGGAGGGGTCCTGCCTGTGCCACTGCAAGTCCCAAAGCCTGAGTTCTGGGCAGGGGCTTGAGAAAGTCCTCACTGTAAGAGTGACTTCCATTGGGAGCAACGGTCGACTCTCAGGTAGCCCAGTCATCCGGGCAGGACTCCGAGAAGCATGGGCTGTGCCTGCCACGCAGGCTCAGAGCTGCGCGGCGGGGAGGGATCCATCCCAGATCTGCTCCAGGATGAACCCACTTACCCACCCCCATCCAGACTACTCAAAAGGGGCAAACTGAGGTTGGCCGACCCTGGCATTTGCCACGAGTGTGTTCCTACGCTCCAGGAGGCCCCCAAGACAGACCTGATCTCCCCATGAGCACTCAGAGGGTCATGTGACATCCTCATGGGGGTCCCCAGGGCACAAGCACAGTGTGAGGCTGGCATGGGGTGGTAGATGGATACAGTACTAAGAATGAAATCGCCCTGGCGTGGGGGCCCCCGCGTGCCAGACACCGCAATGAGCTCGTTGCACTCGATCCTCCAGTAATCCTGCAGGAAGCTCTTTTTTACCCACTTTACCTGAGGGGAAACTGAGGCCCGGCGAGGTCCCGTGGCTCCAGCTCCCTACTCAGGATTGGTGGCACCACGGAGACCCCTCCCCTTCCCCTTTGTCCACAGGGTGCGATGGCCGCCACCTACTTCGCTCTAAACAGGACACCTCAGGCCCCGCGGCTGGAGCCGGTGCTGGCGTCCAACCTGGCGCAGCGCAGGGGCATGAAGAGACTCACGTCCACCAGGTTGTAGCAGGTGGACGCCTGGCCACAGCCCCGCGCCACCCCGCCGAGCGCCCTCTCAGGCTTGCAGACACCGCACAGATGCAGACCCGTTCACAGCCCCCGGAGGGGCCGCGAGGGGACGTGGGCAGAGCACGCTTCCTGTGTCTGTGTTTTCTTTTCCAGCCCGGAGAGGACCCTGGGCTGGGGACTTCTCGGAGCCTCGCTCTGCCTCCTGCACCTGCACCTCCTTCTCCATCCTCAAGCGACCCAGCGAGCTTGTCTCACCTCCCGGTGCCCTGGAGGCCCTGTGGTGCCCTCTCAGACCCCGCAGGTGTTCACACACATGGCTCGTGTGTGGCGGAGAGGCAGACTCCAGCCGCGAGCCGGGGCGCTAGTGGCCTCCCAGCGCAGGCCCCAGTTACTGAGGTTACCCGAAGGACAGCGACAGGCAGGGATGCGCGTGGCCGGGTCGCAGAGCCCCCTGCGGGGCTGCAAGCTCCGGGCATCTGTGGCTTCCCGCGAGCTGGGGGGGGCACCAGGCCCCACCCATGATAATCCAAAGAGCCGCCTCCTCGTCGTCCCCGATTCCTGAATTCGAATGAGGGGAAGAGCCCGACCCGGAATCAGCTGGCTGTGTTTGCCTCATGGCCACAGTTCGCAGGACTCGAGAGGGGGCCTCTGGGGTGCAGCCAGGCAGCCTGTGTCCCTCCGGGGGCTGTCGTTCCCTGCTCGGGCCTGGCCCCGGCGGTCTCGGAGCTACCCGGAGGCTGGCCCGAGAGCGCTGGGCTCTGAGGCTGGCTGAGCTCCCGTGTCGGGCGCGTGTGTGCTGCCCCAAGGCAGTGGTTTTGCTGTGTTCGCTTTCGGTTTTCTAGTCTGTGGAGAAACTGCGAATATCGGAAAAGTCGAGCTTTGTTTCCTCGTCAATCCCTTCTCCGTCCGCCCGGAGAGGGCGGGAGCCGTGCGGCCCAAGATGCGCTGTCCGCGGTGGCGACGCACTTGGTGGGAGCTGCGGGTGTGTGTTGTGCTTTGTGTTTCTGCTGCATAGCTCTGTTCTGAAAGGGACCTTTCCGTGGTATTTAATATTTCCCGGGTGTGCTATGCGCACCGGAGCGGGTGTGCACAGACGGCGTGCCGTGCTTTCCCGCGTTGAGGAAACCGTGCGAGGACGGGCCCGGGTGGCAGGCGCGCCGGGGCGCCCCGCCCTCAAAGAGCGAACTCGCGGGTCCCTCAGCCTCCCATTGGGAGATGAGGACACCCCAGCTGGTCCCCGAGCCAGGGGACCCACCAGGCGGGCAGGACAGGAGGAAGCTCTCACCTGCTCCTGCTCCAGGAACAGCCCCTCCAGCAGCAAGCGGGGTCCGGGCAGCGCCTGTTGGTCACAGCCAGGTTTCCACCGAGACGGTGGTGTCCTGCTGTTTCTTTTCCCTCCGTCTCCCTCACGCTAGAACCCAACTCAAAAAAACACAAGTGCAGCATTCTGAAAAATAACTCCTTAGCTTGGTCTGATAGTTGTCAAACCTTAAAATATAAACTTGTTTCAGAAGCTTTAATTATTCCGTGAGGATTTTCTTAGAGAACCAGGAAGAATAGAGGGAGAGGGACAGATTATGTACCTGTTTTCCCACCATGCCCGCTGGGCGTTTCTCAAAATTTCTCAATAGAAAATGCTTTTTCCAAGGCTAGAATGACTTCCACTCATGACTTTTGTTTTTTAGGTCCAAATTATTTCATTTCTTATTCAAAACTTAGGAAAAAGTGGGTAGTCCTCAGGTCACAGATTTTGTCCTCCTAGAAATGAACGAGTCATTTCCACCTGAATCGTTTCCGCTTGCTACTCGTCCGTCTCTGCCCAGAGCCCGTGGCCCTGTTGGCTTAAAGTCCTGGGATCTGAGGAGGGAGAGCGCTGAGGGAGGGAGAGGGAAGGGCCTCTGGGCAGGTGGTTCTTCCTCCCACGGCTAGAGGTCCTCGTCTTCCTCAGCAATTCCCGCTCACGGCCTTACTTCCGAACTGAGAGTGCCAAAGGGACCCGGGGCTCGCGCCACACCACTGTCATTCCGCCTACTCGACGTCGTCCGCAGGGGACGACCCTGTCCCTGCCCGCCGAGTGTCTGTAAAATACCTCTCCTTTCCCACCCTTATCCAGAGCAACATGATACTTGAAATCCTTCCAAGAAAGTCAGCCGAAAGAAGGTCTGATATCATCTTTTAAACAAAGTTTCCAAGACTCCGGAGTGAAAGAGCCTGTGCTTTATGCACAGCGGTCGACGCGCAGATGAAGCTGTTGTTGCAGTTTGCACTTCCCCGGAACAGGCACCCCCACGCCTAGTGCCAGGCTCCGTGTGACTTGCACAGGCCACATGGACTTCCCAGAAGGTTCAGTAGCTTTGCCTGCTCACTCGGATAATCACTACCCCCGGATGATAAAGCCGCAGCGTGTGTAAGGAGAATAGGAGCAGGGATCTCAGGCTTCCTAACCCCCACACCCCCTCCAAGTGGTCCCTTCAGGGCACCACCCACAGGTCCTCCCACCCTGGCAGCCCCGACTCACCCCATAGCAGGGGACTTTGCCGGATTCCACCCCCAAAGTTGAATGTGGGCGAGAGGTGAGGATTTCACTTGTACCCTTAAGTCAGACTTGTACGTGATTTTAAACTAATTGTGTGTGTGTTTATGTTTGGAAGACTGTTCCACTTTAAAGTGCTGATAGTACTTAATGTTAGCCAGTGTTGTCGATTAAATGGTGTTACTGCTAAAGCTGCACGTGGGGTTTTTACCTTACGCCTCACTGATTCTCTCAAGCACACGATAGAGTTTGATTTGCACTCCGTGTATTCTGACGTGGTTTTGTTACCCCTCACCTTGCCGAGAGTCGGGCAAATTCTAGAACTGAGGACGCTGCAGGGTCCTGGTGATGAGGAAGGGCAGTTGGCCCGGCTCGGGTGACAGAGCCCAGGAGCAAAGGTCGCAGCGTCCGCTGCGCTTGGCGAACACGCTTCTCCTCCGACTCAGCACTTTGTTTACAAGCTCAGCAGTTGTGTTTACAGATCGGTTTTGTGTTCACGCTTTATATTTCCTGTTTGAGATGGGCGGCCACTGTACAGATATTTATTACGCTTTCCAGACTTTCCAAATAGATTTTTTTGAATAAACATGGTTTTATGAAGTGCAATATTTTTCTAGCATAACAATGACCTTTGGACTTGCTGTGTTGTTGCCAGTGACAGTCTGGGGGTGGCTCCCCGGGCCTCTGCCACTCCCCTGACTCCTGGTCGCAGCCAGACGCTGCTGCCACCAGGTGGTGCCTCGTGCAGAGGTGAAGCAGCAATACCATTGCTCCAAACCGAGAGCATGTGTAGACGGACGTGTGTATGTTCACAAGCGTGTGTGTGCTTGTTCATGTAAGTGCATGTGTGTGGAGGTAGGCATGCATGCACGTATGTGTGCACATTGCGTAAGTGTGTGTTCATGTCTACATTGTGTGTAGAAGTATGAGTTCGGGCATATGTGTGAGTGCGTGCACATAGTGTGCGTGCATGTGAGTGCATGTGTGTGTGCACATTTGAACATGTGTGCACATGTTTATGCGTGAGTTTGAACATGTATGTGTGTTTGGGCATGTACGTGTGTCTGGCATGCATGCGTGTGTGTGTGTGTGTGCACTCCCATGAGGGAGTAGGGATGCAGGCAGGAGACGAGGGACAGCCATGTCATGCAGCAGAGCTGGGACAGGCGGGCTGCTGGGACCACCCTTGCTGTATGTCCTGTGCTTGCCACCTGCCTGTGCTTTCTTAACACAGAAATAAAACAGATCACACTGTTGGTCTTTGGCTGTCCAGCTAATTTCCTCATCCCCTTTGGCAAATTCCTAACCACGCATCAGCAGCAACACACACACATACACCCCACGCACGCCAGATACGCATACAGACCCGCGTGCACGCACGCACACGTCTGCGCTCCTGTGCTGCCACGCCGCGTCGTCTGGGCGGCTCCCGGCACAGTGAAGGGAGCTTCCTGGACTCTGGGAGACTCTGCGGCAGGAGCTCTGGAACCTACGAGGGAGTGAATCCAGGGCAGACAACAAATGCACGAGAAATTCTGCGTCCGGCTAAAGACAGCTTCTACACCCTCTACATATTGTTTTCTGTTGCTGCCGTAGCAAATCCTACACACCTGTGGCATAAAGCAACATAATTTATTATCCCGCAGTTCAAAAGTCCAGGACAGGGCTCACTGAACTGACATCAGGGTGTCACCAGGGCCGGTTCCTTCTGGAGCCTCCAGGGGAGGATCCATTTTCCTGCCTGTTCAGCGTCTAGCGGCCGCCTGCACTGCTCACCCCGTGGCCGGCCCTCCTGCTCCCGGCTGAGCAGGAGCAGGTCGAGTTCGCGTCACAGCCCTCTGATCCCCGCTCTGCCTCCCTCTTCCACTTTCAGCCCCAGGATGACACCCACCAGGACAGTCCAGGACACTGTCCCCGTTTTGAGGTCAGCTGACTGGCAGCGTCGATCCCCCCTCATGTAACCTGACAGAGTCCCGGGTTCCAGGGATTAAGACACTGGCCTTTGGGGGGGTGTTATTCTCCCCACCACATTATGTGCGGTGGAGATAGACCTGCTGCACTTGCCTATCTGTGTGTGGGGGCTGTTTGGGGGAAGATGGGGTGTCCAGAACGGTGAAGTGAGTTTCTGGGCTTCGCCCTACTTCGGGCTAATGAGTTAACCTGCCACAGTCTCGTGGATGCTGGTGAGGACACCAAACTTCTAGGTCAGAGACCACCCTGCAGACAGCATGAGCGCTGCATATACATCTGTCCCCTTGGCGCCCAGGTCTTGCAGGGGGGTGGGGAATGGCCCAGGTGGCGTTGCACACACTGAATTTTCATCACAGATGGGGACCCTGACTTAGGAAACCCCAATCGTTGATAGAGGGCTGCCAGCAAACCCACTCGCCATTTGTCCTAGAAGGAACGTTGTCTTTGTCACACCAGATGGGAAGCACGCCTGCCCTTTGCCCCGAGGACGGCCACTGCCTCTGTCATCCAGGCTGTCCACCGTGCACGTGTCCTTGGAAAGATATGCCAGAACCAAGCAGCCTAGGCTCTGCGCAGAAATGCAGGAGGCCCGTGGAGATTTGCCTGCCAGCAATAAGGGGCTCGGTTGGTATCTTGTCCCCCAACACTCAACTGTCACCTGAGAATCCACCGACAAGCCTGGGAGGGCCGGCTGGGCCCAGGCGTGGGCGGCCGCTGTGTCTCCTGGAGGCATTCAGCCTAACTCTCAATCTCAAATGCATCTAAGGCTGTAAAATCCGTCTTTTATAGGACTTAAAATAGGCTTCTGTACACACACATTTCATTCTGAATATTATGTGTATATTTTTCCCCAAAGTCCAGCTCGGATCTAGTCCTATGCAGCACCAACCCCGGGTTTGCTCGAAACAAGTGAGGCTTATGAAGGAGCCAGGAGCCTCGACTCCTGGTTTCAAACGTGTCCCCAGGGGGCACTGAGGACGGTTCCTGCACCACCCAATTGTAGGGCTCAGTAATCCTTGACATTTTCTCTGGCCCTTGACCTTTCAGGTGAAATGAATAAATCTCGTTTGCAAGGGTGCACCCTAATGCCATGGAGCTCGCGAGACCTGGAGTCGGGCGGGCAGGCCGGGGGCCCTCGGGACCCTGGGCGGTTCTGCAGGCCACAGCCTGA